CCTCCCACCACCCCACCCCCCCACACCACACTCACTTCTGGCCGCTCAGCTCGCTAGCCTGGCACACTACACTCTGGCTGGAAGAATGAGCACGGACGGCCTGCCGACATACACGCTTGCCGAGGTGAAGCAGCACAATACGGAGGACTCTCTGTGGATGGTCATCCGTGGCCTTGTCTATGACCTCACCGAGTACCTCGATGAGCACCCGGGTGGCGACATCATGCTGGTACGGCCACCTACTCGGACAGACATATACATACACATACATATGCAGGCGCATGCGCATGCGCGCCCCTACCCATACGCATGCACACACATGAGGCATATATGCATGGTGCCCATGTTGTGTGTGTTGGTCGTGTGAAGGGGGGGGGGAGGAGGGAGGGGGGGGACGGGCAGCCCGGTGAGGGGAACGGGCAGACTCACCGAGGCGATCAATGGGGCGTGGATCGGGGATGTGGTGGTGATGGTGGTGATGGTGGTGATGGCGGTATGGCGGGATGGTGGCACGGCGGAATGCCGGTACGGCGGGATGGCGGAACGGCGGGGGGGGAGGGGTAGGAGGGCGCTGGACTGGATGCGACTGAGATGTTTGACGACGTGGGGCATTCGGATGAGGCTGCAGAGGAGCTGGCCAAATACCTCATCGGCCGTCTTGCCTGAGAAGAACAGATAATGAAAGAAAGCCGAGGGTGATGAGGGAAGAGGGAGGATGGTGGTGACGCTGGGCCCACCCAGGCCGTTCCACTGGCTGCACAGGCAGGCGCGACTACCTGACGCACTCTTTTGCTGCGCGCGAAATGGCGAGTGACTCGAGCTGGAAGCTGTTTGCGGCCGGCGCAGCTGGAGGCGTGGCCGAGTGTGTTGCTGTCCAGGTACGGGCGGGCTGTGAAATGGTGGGGATGCGGTGGTAGGGGTGGTCGGGGTGGTGAGGGTGGTGGGGATGGGGGAGAAAGGGGGGGGGGGGGGGGGGGGGGGGAAGGGACGGGGGAGGCCAGCGGGGAGGATCCCTGGGCGCAGGCAGGGAGCGCATCGAAGGCACGAATGGAAGAATCGGGGACTGACAGGGCCAGGGGAGGGGGGAATACAGCCGGTAGACATGATCAAGACCCGGTTTCAGATCTCGACCACGCCAAATCCGTCTGTGATGGAAGCGCTGGTGAGCATTGTGCGGAACGAGGGCTTTCTCAGATTGTATCGTGGTATGCTGCCCGAGATGGCTGGGATGGTGCCCAAGTCGTCGGCGATGTACTCGACGTACGAGCTGGTGCGGCGCGAGGGCGAGCGGCGGAACGGCGGGATGTCGGTAGCGGTGGCGAGCGCAGCAGGACTGGCGTCAGGCGTGGCCGAGGCAGCGGCTGTGCATTTGTTCCAGATCCCCAAGGTCCGCCTGCAGGCCAAGGCGTACAACAACAAGTACAGCGGCACGCTTGATTGCCTGCGGCAGATGCTGCGCGACGAGCCGCTGTCAGCCTTTGGCCGTGGGCTCGGGCCGACGCTCTGGCGCAACATGGTGTGGAACACGGTGTACTTTGGCCTCATGCACCACATCAAGAGCCTCCTCCCGGCGACTGAGAGCCGGCTCGGCAGCGGGGTGCAGACTCTGGGTGCCGGCTTTGTGGCCGGCATTGTCGCCACGTGCTTCAACGCCCCGTTCGACGCCGTCAAGTCGCGGTTCCAGGCCGAGGTCGTCGTTCCGGGCCAGGCGCCCAAGTACACGTCGACGCTCCCGTCGCTGGTCACCATCTACCGCGAGGAGGGCCTGAGCGCGTGCTACAAGGGCTTTGCACCCAAGGCCATCCGCATGGGCATCGGCGGGGCGGTGTGCATGGCGACGTTTGAGCTCGTCTGCTTCCTCCTCCACGCCGACGCGGCACAAGCCGCAGACGAACCGCTCGACGGGTGAGCGCCGGTCACTGTGGTAGGGCTCCCGAGAGGCCGGCGGCGACCGGAACCGGCGCGTACTCGTCGTCCGAAGACGAGAACGACCAGTCGGCCGGCGGTGGTGGCCTATGCTCGCTGCCATCGCCTGCTGAATCGCTACAGAACGACGGCACGTTGCTCAGGAGCGAGTCGGCGTCGGCGTCGACATCGTCGAGAAGGGCCTCGGCGGCAGCATCGATAGCGGCGGCGGCGGCGGCCTCGCGCCCGGCGCGCGAGCGCTCCGAGTACAGAATAAAGTCGTTCTTGTCACCATGCTCCAGCGCCGAGGGGCGGACAAAGAACGCCGACGCGTGCGCGCCTGGCGGCGTGCTAGGATCGACTTCGCAGTACTTGGGGATGAGCGGGAGTGTGTGCGGCGGGCAGTCAACAGCGAGGCCGATCCAGAGACCGGAGCGGCCCGGGCGGTAGCCAACCGAAATGACAAAGCCGTGGAGCTCGACACCGATGCGGTCGTAGGCAGCCTTGACAAAGTCGCCGACCTTGAACTTGGTCGCCTGCATGCTGGCGTGGTACCTGCGCTTGTGGGCTGGCACAGCGCCGCGTGGATCTACAGCCTCGCGGGGCAGCAGCGGCAGCGCATGGGCGCCGCCCGAGTCGGTCCGTGCGCCGACCGCTGCAGTTCGGCGGGCGTGGCGCGAGCGCGAGCGCTGTGCGGCAACACGATCACGGCGGGCAGCCTCGTCTGCGGCGTGGCGGGCGATGGCGTCGACCATGCTCGCCGAGATGGAGACCGAGGCCACGGCGGCCGGCGAGGTAATGACCCGGCCCGGATGCGGCGGGCGGGCGCCGCCGTGCAACTGCAGCCGCACCGCGTCCGGGCGGACAAAGACCCCATACCGCGGCTTGCACACAAAGTACGAGACGCCGGCCACAGAGCCGTTACTTTTGCCGGCCTTGCGCTCCAGCTCGACGCCGACCCACATGCCCGGCGCAAAGTGTGTGAGGCCCACAAAGCGGACGGTGCCGCGGACAGGGCGCCCGGCCCGGACCAGGCTCACCTTGGCGCCCTCGCGCAGCCGCCCGCTGCTCCCGCCACTGGTGCCAGTCCCGGGCCCACCCCGGTGTTGTCGGCGTCGGAGAGAGTACGGAAGCATGAGCAGGATGGGGGGAGGGAGGTGTGGGTGCTGGATACGGTGACAGGCGACCGTTCACGGGCGGCGGACTGGTGGCGGCGGCTGCCCAGGCGATGGAGGCAAGGAGGGAGGGTGGGTGGGGATGATTGCGAGTACTAGAGGTTGTTTGGGATGGGTGGGGAGTGGATGGGATGGGGTGATGTGGTTTCGCAGAGGAGAATGATGTGGCGTCCGTGTGTGGCATTGGTGATGTCCGCATCGATTGATCTACAAAGTTCTGGCGCGTTTTGTTCTCGGCTCTCCGCCATGTAAAGGTGCGCCGATGGACTGGGATGGTGAGCAACGCTGCAGCCCTCCCTTTAACCTGCAGCCCTCATCACCACACCCTCTCTCGCAGCAACTCTGTCGATCGCCTCTGGCTGGTCGTGGCCATTGCCAGACGGCGGGACGGTGCTGGCCAGGCCCGGACAGCAGGCACCGAGCTGGGTTGGGCATCTCGTGATCACCGCTAACTAGCGGGTGGCGGAAGGCAGGTAGCGGATGGCGGAAGGGGTTGCCGGGAAAAAGCTGGCATGGCCTGCGGAAGGTGCGGTGCGGCGGTTGGCGGAAGGCGTACCAGATGGCGGCGGCGGCTTGTTGCGGCCCGCACCCAATCATGTGCCTTTGAGGTCACTCGAGCATGTCCCGGCGTGACCCGCCACAGACAGAGCGGTGGAGTACGTATTGGTACGCATCAAGACGCCCCCCCTCCCCCACACGGCTGCATCCTTCAATTGCAACGTCCTCTAAGCAAAGGCTTACAGTGCTTGTTGGAGTTAGCCAGCTCACGGCTGTGTTTCGACACGGTGGCTGTGTTTCGACACCGGCGGTTCTCTTGCCGCAGCGGGCCGCAGACGGGTGTGCCGCATGACAACTATCATGCATCCATAACCGCGTGTTTAAAGAGCTTATCGCGGTGCTACTCACGTCGGAAGCATGCGGTTGTATGGCGGCCCCGGTGTGGTGGTCTGTGGCACACGAAGCAGCGTTTTGCACCTGTGCGGGCGGCGGGACAGGACGCGGGCTAGGGCTGCATGCGAGGTGAATCGAAATGTTGGGTTGTGATTGGCTGGCCAAAAATAACACTGTTCGCTTTGGTCGCATGCGCGTGACTTTGCACAAGGTAGCAAGCACCGACGGCAGCAGACGTGGGGGCGGAGCGCTGCAGTTGGCGGCGTGCAACCGGTACCAACTTGTAGTACAGCGCCACCCCCCCCTCTTGTGTCAAAGCGTGCGGGATGGGTAATCCCATGGGTGCAAGGGCAAGTGCGGGAGGGAAGGGGGGGGGG